ATGAACAACCATATGCCAACAAATTGGACAGTCTGGGTGAAATGGATAAATTCCTTGAAACATACAATCTTCCCAAACTGAATCAAGAAGAATCAGAGTCTGAATAGATAGATTATAACTAGTGAAATTGAAACAGTTTTTTTTAAAAAACTCCCCAAAACAAAAGCCCTGGACCAGATACCTTCACAGGTGAATTTTACCAAATATTCAGAGAAGAACTAACACTTATTCTTTTCAAACTCTTTAAAATATTCAAGAGTAGAGGAGACTCCCAAGCTCATTTTACAAGCCCAGCATTATCCTAATTCCAAAATCAGATAAAGACACAACAAAAGTCCTGGCCGGTTTTGCTCAGTGGTTAGAGCAATGAGTCGTGGGTTCAATTCTAGTCAAGGGCATGTACCTCAGTTGTGATTCGTCCCAGGCCCTGGTTGGGGTTGTGCAGGAGGCAATCAGTCGGTGTGTCTCTCTCACGTCGATGTGTCTCTCTCTCTTTCTCTCCCTTCTACTCTATCTCAAGATAAATGGAAAAATATCCTCAGGTAAGGATTTAAAAAAAAGACCTAACAAAGAAAGAAAATTATAGGCCAATATCCCTAATGAACATAGATGCTAAAATCCTCAACAAAATATTAGTAAACCAAATCCAGCAATACATTAAAAAGATCATACACCATAATCAAGTGGCATTTATTCCAGGGATGCAAGGTTGGTAAAGCTCAGCAAATCAGTAAATGTGATTCACCACATAAACAAAATGAAATACAAAAACCACATGATCCTACCAACAGATGCAGAAAAAGCATTTGATAAAATCCAGCACCCATTTATGATAAAAACTCTCAGCAAAGTGGGAGTAGAGGGAACATACCTCAATGTAATAAAGGCCACATGTGACAAACCCACAGCCAACATCATATTCAATGGGCAAAAACTAAAAGTTATTTCCTTTAAGGTTGGTAACAAGACAGAAATGTCTGCATTCACCACTTGTATTCAACATAATACTGGAAGTCCGAGCCACAGCAGACAAGGAAGAGAAAGAAAAGCCATCCAAATTTGAAAGGAAGAAGTAAAAGTGTTATTATTTGCAGATGACATGAGAGAACCCTAAGGATTCCACCATAAAACTACTAACACTGATAAATGTATTCAGTAACTTAGTAGAATACAAAATAAACATGTAGAAATCAGTTGTAAATACCAATAATAAAGTATCAGAAAGGGGAGCTAAGAAAACAATCCCATTCACAGTTGCTTCAAAAAGAATAAAATAGCCTTGGCTGGTTTGGCTCAGCAGTTAGAGTGTTGGCCTGTGGACTGAAGGGTTATGGGTTTGATTCCCAGTGAAGGGCACATACCTGGGTTGCAGGTTCAATCTCTGACCTTGGCCTGGGTCGTGTGGGAGGCAACCAGTCTCTCTCACATTAACAACAACAACAACAAAAAATAAAATAACTAAATACCTAGGAATAAATTTAACCAAGGATGTAAAAGACCTATATTCAGAAAATTATAAGGCATTGAAGAAATAAACTAAAGAATATACAAATAAATGGGAGTTTATACCATATTCATGGATAAAAATGATTAACATGATTAAAATGTCCATACTACCTAAAGCAATCACAGATTCAGCACAGTTCCTATCAAGATACCAATGGCATATTTCATAGAACTAGAACAAATATTCCAAAAATTTGTGTGGAACTAAAAAAGACCTTGAATAGCAACAGCAATCGAGAGAGAGAACAAAGTTGGAGGAATCACGCTACCTAATATCAAACTATACTACAAGGCTACAGATATGAAAACAGCTTAGTACTAGCATTAAAACCAACATATAGATCAATGTAACAGAACAGAGAACCCAGAAATCAACCCACACCATTATGGTCAATTAATATTTGACAAAGGAGGCAAAAACATACAAAGGGTTAAAGATATAAATGTTGTTGGGAAAACTAGACAGATGTGTGCAAAAAAAAAATGAAAGTATACCACCTCTTATACCACACACAAGAATAAATTCAACATGGATTAAAGACTTAAATATTAGACCTGAAACCATAAAATTTCTAGAAGAAAATACAGGCTGTACGCCCTGGCCGGTTTGGCTCAGCGGTTGGAGCATCCGCCTGCGGTCTGGAGAGACCCGGGTTCGGTTCCCGCTAAGGGCATGTACCTCGGTTGCAGTTTGTCCCCGGCCCTGGTTGGTCGTGCAGTGGCAGCCACTCGATGTGTCCCTTTCACATTGATGTTTCCCTCTCTCTCTCTTCCTCTCTCTCCCTCCCACTCTATCTGTACAAAAAATAGAAAAATGTCCTCAGGTGAGGATAAAAAAAAAAAAAAAGAAAATACAGGCCGTACAATCTTGAACATTTCTCATAGCAATATTTTTTCTGATATATCTCCTGAGGCAAGGGAAACAACAACAACAAAAAAACAACAAATGGGACTACATCAAACTATAAAGCTTTGCACAGCAAAGGAAACCATCAACAAAATAAAAAGACAACTCACTAAGTGGCAGAACATATTTTTTTTTTTTTTAAATCCTCACCCGAGGATATTTATTTTTCCATTTTTTGTACAGATAGAGTGGGAGGGAGAGAGAGGAAGGAAGAGAGAGAGAGAAACATCGATGTGAAGGGACACATCGAGTGGCTGCCACCCGCACGACCAACCAGGGCCGGGGACAAACTGCAATCGAAGTACGTGCCCTTAGCGGGAACTGAACCCGGGTCTCTCTGGACTGCAGGCCGACGCTCTAACCGCTGAGCCAAACTGGCCAGGGCAGAACATATTCACTGATACATCTGATAAGGGGTTTAATATTCAAAATGTATAAAGAAGTTATAAAACTCAACACCAATAAAACAAACAATCCAATTAAAAAATGGGCAGAGGCCCTGGTCGGTTTGGCTCAGCAGTTGCAGTATTGGCCTGCGGACCAGAGAGTCCCAGGTTCGGTTCCCGCTAGGGGCATGTACCAAAAAAATAGTAATAATAAAAATAATAATAATAAAAATAAAATAAAATAAAAATGTTGTTTAAAAAAAAAAAATGGGCAGAGGACCTGAACAGACACTTCTCAAAAGAGGATAGACAGATGGCCAATAGACATATGATAAAATGTTCAATGTCACTAATCATCAGAGAAATGCAAATTAAAACCACAGTGAGATGTTACCTCACACCTGTCTAAAGGCTATCATCAGTAAATCAACAAACAAGTGTTGGTGGGATGTGGAGAAAAGGGACCCTCGTGCACTGTTGATGGGACTGCAGACTGGTGCGGCCACTATGGAAAGCAGTATGGAGTTAACTTAAAAAAGTACAGATGGAACTGCCTTAATGATTACAATGTCTCAATGATTCCACTTCTGGGAATATATCCAAAGAAATCCAAAACATGAATTCAAAAGAATATATGCACCCCTATGTTCATTGCAGCATTATTTACAGTAGCCAAGATTTGGAAGCAGCCCAAGTGTCCATCAGCAGATGAGTGGAGAAAAAAGCTGTGGTACATTTATACAAGGGAATACTACTCTGCCATAAAAAAAGAGGGAAATTTTACCCTTTGCAACAGCATGGATGGACCTGGAGAACATTAGGCTATACTGGCACAATAACCTGGTTATTATTTAACAGAAAAGGAATAAAGGGAAGACCAGACAATATAGGCATGCCATTTGTACAGCTTCGCCAGGAAGCTTGCAATGAACACTGGAGATCTGTTCCCTGCTGATCCATGGGGGAAGGGCCTGGACAAAGGCAATTTAGACACATGCCCAGTAAGGTCTGAATGACATGGGAGGTGCCTACCTGTCCATCATCCCTAGGAGTGAGTCAGAGGCCAAAACAGATGTGGCCACAACAAGTGCACGAAACCTGAATATTGAATCTCCTGGACAAAGGAAACTGGCCTCTGCTTGCTGTCTCTCACTGCTTGAGGCAGGCTTCTGGCTCTTGGGGTTCCCATGCCCTGTACCCGACATGTGGCCCACAGCCGTGTGGGATTCCATGCAATAGACCAATGAACGGAATCTGTACTAGTCCTACGCTGGACACAGCTGCACCATGGAATGGACACTCTGGACTCTGGCCTTGCTTTTTGCTTTGCTAAAGCCTCAGCCACCCCTCTTCCAGGACTGGCCTGGGGGAAATGGGACACTGGAAACTGAGGAATGTAATTTCAGGCAAATAAAGTCTTCTATCACCTCTCATTCTCCTGTTAGGGCCTCGAATAGCTTGTTCCAACTGCACCCTGAGAACACCATTCCCATTAGTGACGGAGGAATCTGATTCTCCAGTAACAAAATGAGCCAGTCGAAGAAAGACAAGTACCATATAATTTCACTCATAGGTGGAATTTAATGAAAAAAATGAACTACCAAGCAAAACAGAGATAGACTCATGGATAAAGAGCAGGCAGACAGCTCTGCGGGAGGGAGGGTGTTATGGGGAGTGGAGGAATTGAGCAAAAAAGAAAAAAAGAAAGAGAAAGAACTCATGGACATGGACAACAGTGTGGTGATTGCAGGGGGTAGGGGTGGTGGGTAGAAGTGGAAAAGTACCCTAATGGTGATGGAACAAAATATAATAAAGAGAAAAATAAAAGGATGCTTCACTGTAGGTGACTGAGATACTGCTTTAAAGTACCTAACTCTGAGCAGAGGCCCCTGAGCAAGCCCGGGTTTAAAATATGCTAAATGTGGGTACTACTCTGCTAGGAAAGATGTTTGGTCTGACTTTTTGGAGGCTGCAGTCACAATCTGATTAATGCCTCTTTCTGTCTCTCTGGGTGGAGCATTATCTGCACTGAGGTGGTGGACCTTGTGCGTGAACACGGTTCCCGGGCAGATGGCTGTCTTCCCCACTCGGGCTTTGAGAACAGCTGCTTGTGGGGTAGGAGAATAGGCGGGAAAGACTGCGGCCCTTCTGCACTGAACGTGAACGCGCAGGCGAGCTGCCTCCAGCCGCGGGCACCTTACCTTGTGCACGCAGGACTTCGCGTTCAGGAAAAACAGCTCCACGGTGGTTTTATCCTTCAAAAACGCTATGCTCTCGATGTAAAATCTGGAAAACAGTAACAGAAGTTGGTTTCTTCACATTTCTTTCCTTCTCCCAGCACGATTTCATTTCTTCATGTAATTTCCCCAAAGTAGAGAGAGAATTTTGAGAAACCAGAGCACAGAGGACACTTGTGCTTTCTTCCCCCTGGCAAGGTGGCCTGCACTCTGTGCGCGTAGGTGACGTGCAGACGCGCAGAGGAATCTCCGTGTGGTCTGTGTCGGGAGGAAGGCGAGGTGACCGGGAGCCACAATGGCCTCCATCTGCAGCCCCTTCACCTGTGCTGCCCGTTCCTGGACACTCTGGGGGCTCACGCGTCTCAGACCGCTGGAAGCTGGCCCAGGGAGCTGTGGAGGCTGAAGCAGAGGCGGAGTAACACTCCACAACTGACCCTCGGGGCCTGCTGGCAGCTCTGGTTTTCAGACACGGGGGTGTGAGGGCCCCAGGCCTATGGCCCACCTACCCCCACCGGCGGGGGAGTTGCAGTACCACCCGCCCCCTTCCCTGTCATCCTTCCAGGCTTAGGGATTTCCCCTGGCTGGCAGCCAAACTCTCAGCAGCACTTAACCTTGGTCTTTTCTCATGCAAATCAGGCCACTTGGGGCTCCACTCTCCCCACTGGGCTTCTGCTACCGACAGTGCGTGGCCAGAGGTCAAAGGTCCCTCTGTTAGGAGAGCTGATAGCTCCAAGTGGGGAGGGGGGGCGGACCTTCACAATCTGTTTTCATAATCCCCCCACGATGAAGCTGGTGGTCTCTGGGGTGGGGGGTGGCCAGCCTTGGCTCAGTTTTCTCAGGAGTCGGAGCCCCACGTGAATAAAGCAGGAAGAATACAACGCCCCAAGGCGCTCGCGGCTCGGTCCTGCCTCAGAACTTTGCTCCCACAAGCCAGAGTCCAGATAAAGCCAGGTTGACCTGGAACAGGGGCTTGCCCTTGGCCCTGCGAATCCCCGGGCCGTGGCCGGCGGCACCCTCCCCACCCCAGACAATGACAAAGCATTTAAGAAAGGAATAAAACTGAAAAAGGCCCTGGGAGATGTTATCACTGAGATGGTAAAATCACTTGGAAAATCCCACCTCTAATCTAATGTTGAATCTTCAAGAGAAGTTTCAGAAAGAGAATAAATCCTTTCTATTTTTACATACAAGGGTTTAAGTCACTTCTAAGTGAGATTAATGAAGATTGATGAGTGTTAGGTTTGTGAGAAGAGCAAGTTAGGGATTAAGGCAGGGAGGGGAAGGCAGGGAGGGTTAAGGCTGGGGAAATAGGCTTGGAATCGGAGACTGCAAGGGTCCCACCTCTGAGTGTGGCCTTGGGCAAGTCAGTTAGCTTCTCTGTCTTTCCTAAAATGGCTCAGATTGCATTTACCTCACAGGGTTTGGGGGATTAAATGAGATAATATATGTAAGACACTCAATACATTTTAACACTTGTTTAACCATTTTTTGACAACAATCCATTTTCTGGAATTCAACGCTTCTGCTTTGAGTCTAAGAGCATTAGTGTGCAGAGGCAAGACACTCAGCTCAGAGGGAGATCTGAGCGCGGGACATGAGCCCGGTACGGTGCCTGTCACAGGACGGGGCTTCAGGATCCTAACTGCGCAGCAGAACTTGCATTGTGTTCAAACGGTTTAGGGATGTGATGGGCTTTGACCTATATCTGAAGGCCAGGAAATAACAGGATTCTGAAGGGTAAAAAAAAATCCAGGTGGGGGAAATACTTTACCTAGAATGTCTCTTTCGGGTGATAATGGGTAATAAACAGTCATAATTTGGCTCTCACAAGACAGAATTCTTGCTAATCTGAGTACTCTGCCACCAGCTTCTCGGTTCCCCGGCCCTGGGCCCTGCTGGGCAGACACGGTGCCGCAAAGGCAGCCTCTGGTGGGCTGGAGAGGCACGCAGCCAGCAGAGGCTGGGCTGCGGGGGACGGGACCTGCAATCATGCAATCTCTCAGAGAGGGAAACAGTGGAGACAGACAGAAGCTCTAAGCAGCAGCCACGAGGCAGGGAAGGAAGGACAAAAGTCAACGGCAGGAGCTGAAGGAGCAGAATGGAAAGCAGAGTCACTGTGATGGTGGACACAAAGTAGGAGGCTGGGGATGACCAGTGACACTCAGTTCCTTGCAGCCTGAGGACCTTCCGGTTCAATGAGGTGGCCATGGTGGTTTCCTGCTCTGCTTGCTGTTGCACCGTGCACTTTTGTCCCTTTCCACTAAGACACCCCGCAGGCTCAGCGGCAGTATCCCAGCTGTATCCTGAGCTCTCCTGTGCTGGGCCACATCCATATGCTTTCGAACCCCAGGTGGCAGATATCTATCCTTACGCCCACATCACAGATGCAGAAACTGAGTTTTAGAGGCTGTGCCTACAAGGCAGGCCTGGGTCTCCACTTGGGTCCCTGGGACTCCATAGACGATGTCTGTGAGCGCACCTCCTGGCTGCCTCTCTTCCTACCAGCATTTGTGTGGAAGCTGAGCCCTCAGCAGCTGTGCAGCTCAACCACGTGTAAGACAGGCATAGATGCTAGACCACTGCAGCGTTCCCAGGTGAACACACACACAAGCATTTGTGTTCTCTATTGCTGCAAAACAGAACCAGACCAGTGGAAAAACAAGGTGAGAGGTTTGAAATTTATCTGTGAATGTCTTTTTAAAAGCCGAAGGAGCCCAGCCTGGCTGGTGTGGCTCAGTGGTTGAGTGTCGACCCATGCACCAAGAGGCTGCCAGTTCGATGCCTGGTCAGGGCATATGCCCAGGTTGTGGGCCTGATCCCCAGTAGGAGGCATGCAGAAGGCGGCCAATTGATGTTCTCTCTCATTGATGTTTCTCTCTCTCTCTCCCCTCTTTGTTATCCTTCCTCTCTTTGTTTCTATCTCTTTGTTATCCTTCCTCTCTCTCTAAAATCAATAAAGAAAAAAAAAAGTTTTTAAATAGCTGAAGGAGTAGTTTCAGAAGGGAAGAGTTTGCCCAGAGAAAGTGATCTCCCTGCCCTATGAAAGTCTCAGGTCAGACTGATAGAACTGCAGGTCTGTTTTCTCTGCCAAAATCGGGTAATTCTTTTTTACTTTCACTTTTAATTACTTCAATATATATATCTTTAGCAAAGAAGGATTGTATTAAAAGCATAACCTAGCCCAGCCGGTGTGGCTCAGTGGTTGAGTGTCAACCCATGCACCAAGAGGTCCCTGGTTCAATGCCTTGTCAGGGCACGTGCCCAGGTTGTGGGCTCAATCCCCAGTGTGGGGCATGCAGGAGGCAGCCAATCACTGCTCTCTCTCATTGATGTTTCTATCTCTCTCCCTCTCTCTCTAAATTCAGTAAAGGAATAAAAAGATATACTGGAGATATGAGGAAAATGATAAGAAAGAAAAAGTAATAAATAAAAGCATAACCTCAATGCATTTTCACATTAACAAAGTTCATAGTAATTCCTTAATATTTAAAATCCAGTCATTCAACTTTTTGTTTTCACAACGTTTTAATTTTTTATAAGTTTTCATTGATTTTTTTTTTTTTTTTTTTATCCTCACCCGAGGATATTTTTCCATTTTTTGTACAGATAGAGTGGGAGGGAGAGAGAGGAAGGGAGAGAGAGAGAGAAACATCGACGTGAAGGGACACATCGAGTGGCTGCCACCCGCACGACCAACCAGGGCCGGGGACAAACTGCAACCGAAGTACGTGCCCTTAGCGGGAACCGAACCCGGGTCTCTCCGGACCGCAGGCCGATGCTCTAACCGCTGAGCCAAACTGGCCAGGGCTTCATTGATTTTTTTTAGGGAGAGAGATAGAAACATCAATGTGAGAGAGAAACATTGATTGGCTGCGGCCTGCGTGCCCCCAACTGGGTAATCAAGCCTGACACCCAGGCATGTGCCCTGACTGGACATTGAACTGGGACCTCTCGGCCCACGGGATGACGCTCAATCCCCTGAGCCACACTGGCTGGGCCTTCAAAACTTTTTTAAAGTTTGTGTTTGTTTTATTAAATAAATAAAGCTGCAGTGGTCTACACCAGGAGTCCCTGTGCAAGCAGCCGTGAGGGCCACTGGCTGTGACCCAGCAGGGCATCCCTGCTACACGGAACTCCCTCTGCAAGGTGCAGGCAGGGACCCAGCCAGCCTACCGAGATCCTTCCACCCGGGACTCTCAACATACTTAGAGTGACCTGAAGATCAAGGTGGTGGGAGCCCAGTGTTCTGCCCATAATGCCTTGGTGAAAGTATCCTTTGGATTTTGTTTCCGAGATCTCTGCCTGGATTCTTATCTTTTCTGAGGCCTTGTTAGTTCAGTTTTCTTTCAATTCTGTTACTTATCCACAATGGGTTCCTGTTTCTGGCAACCAAGGAATCCAATTTAACAAAGGCCTTCTTACGTGCTGGGGACAGTACAGAGGGTTGTCATGCATCATTTTCTTAATGTTCAGAACAATCAGAAGCTGGAAGTAGCAAATTATAAACCCATTTTACAGATGAGAAAACTGAGATACTGAGAATCTTCCCCAACCATGTAGGTGGGAAGTGGTGGAGCCATGATTCCAACTAAGGCCTATCAGACTTCAAAATTCATATTCCAAACAAATATGATATAGTGCTTTCCTATAATACCAAGTACAATGAAATATAATATGTACACAATGAAGCAGGGTCCAAGGGAAGGGTGCAATGAACTCAGCTTATGACCCAAGAGGGAGAAGGCTCCAAACTGAAATCCACAGAACTCAGTGTCACAGGACACGGAGTGTCCCCTGGGACAACTGAGCTGCGTCTTTAAGAATGCATGAGTTCACCAGGGAAAGGGCATTCAGCCAGACCCATCCTCCTGCTGGTCTTCAAGAATTTAAATTTAAAAAACCATATGCAAATCAACCATGGCCTACCCAGCTCTCAACAGATCCGTTGTGCTGGACACTGGGTTCACCTTGTCCCCGAAGCCCAGGCCTGACTGTGCTAGTTCCAGTCAGCAGGTCCCTCTCCTGTTTCCCACTGCTTCTGGCAACTTG